ACCAATTTGTTTTTTTTTTTGGTCTTTTCTAAAACAAAAACAGAATTTAAGAACATGTTATTTTTTGCTGATGTGGCAATTTAAAAAACAAATGAAACAAAAACTTTCATATTACAGAACGCCCCCTTAGTTTCTTGTTTTGATGCATAAAATACCCCAAGTATTACCACCTTATGAACACCCATGAAATGTTCGATTGAATGATACCATCCAACTCATCTTAATGATTTTTTATTATTTATATACATTATTAATTCCTTAACATACAAGTCCAATGCAGTTCCTCAAACTCAATTATGATAATCCAGTTTTTCATGAATGGATACAAACATTAAGAACCGCAATGACACAATAGAAAACAACCAACACATGCTAAGGTTTTCTTTAATCTATACAAAACAAAATAGATAATGTTTGATTGGTCAAAGCTCTTTTGGCATCATACCTTTCTAGCATCAGAGAATTACCCAAAATATATTTAATTAATTTTAAACTTATACACATATAGTGAATTTATATAAATGTAAAATATTGAATTTATTTATTAAAAACATTATGTGATTATATATCATATCCATATTCACAGATATATTACATGTATACAAACGAAAACTCAAATAAAAAATGACCTCTATGGTATCAAATATCCATCATATTAAACAAAAACTAGTATGGTAGATGAGGATTTTGTTATTAATGATGGAAATATCCATGAACACAAAAAATAGAATAAAAACTAGGGATTTAATATCTAAACTATCAAACTTATGGGTAGGGGTGTAAGTCGAGTTCCCCCAAGTTAACAGTTTTACACTGTTTCAGGCTCAGGCTTCAGGTTGGGCCCATTAAAATTTTGACAAAATCCCAACCCTAACCTGAAAAGGTTGCACCCCTACTTATGGGGAAATCTATAATAGATTCTTTACCTACCAGGTGCTGTTCTAATAGGCAAGCACTCATCTCCCCCCCCCCCCCCTCCAACCCAAACATGAAAGAAAAAGCAAACACCCTCAAGTAACAGTAAACTATTCTTGCCACTCATCCATGGTTTACTTGATACAATGAATGATGATTGAAAGAATTGATGTTAATTATTATCATTTATTTCCCATCATAGAGTTTAGTCTATGATGTAGGGTTCATGTCTTACAATTATATTGTAAAACAGATATCCCAGAACAATTTGATACAGTGCCTCTTTTGAAGATGTGGCCAAAATGTAAAGGCTAGGATAGATACCTTATCCAGGTAGGAAAGTTATGATCACTTTTATTTCAACTCTATTTGCAATGTAAATAAAATCATAAACCTAACTATTTCCCTTTCACAATTAAAATGATAGTGTTATTCTCTTAATTAATAGACAATATTAATTATCCAAGAGGTTGCATGGTGTATATTTTCATTGATGGCATAGTATTAATTAATCAAAATATAAATGAACTAAATGTAAAATCAGATTAATAGACATATGACTTATTAGAAACAAGAGTTTTTAAAATAAGTATGAAAAATAGAATATATGCAATGTAAACTTAATAGTAATACTTTGATTTGTATCAGACATGGCTCATTCTTAATGAAAGTATACTTTGATTTGTTCCTCAAAAAAAAAAAAAAATGGCCATTGCTTGGTGTAATGGTAAAATCTTGAGCTAACAAGTGTGAGAGAACATGCATTAGAGTTTGAGAGTGGCTACTTTGTGTAAAAAAAGTGCCGAAGGTTAGGTCCATATCCAAATTACCTCTTCCAAAACACCAAATAGCTACGATTAGCATTGGGTAATGGCCTTATAGAATAGGAAATTGGAGTACAATTAGGATTAGAGATCAAGAGACCTCAATGTGACCATTATCTTTCCTTTGTAAAATAATTTTTAACAAAGAAAAGATTAGTAAACTGAGATAGTTTAGTCATGTGCAAAAAAGATCTCTATAAAACCACTAAAAAGAAGTGATCTGTTACAAGATTAAGAACTAAAAGAGGTAGTGAAGACCAAAAATATATGAAATTAAGTCGTAAGAAATGGTTTAAGAGCCCATAATTTAACAATGGTATATATGATACTTAACAAAGTGAATTTGTGGAGCAGGATTCATTTAGTTGATATCACTTAGTTGTAGAAAAATGTGAATATTGAGATAGATGAATGGGAAAAACCCAAAAATGATGCAAACAAAGATTAATCTATGTGCAGGAATGTAGCAGTAGATCCAATAGGTGGTAGATGGTTTAGTCACGGGCAAGGAAGATCTCTATATATAGAAGTTATCTATTATGAACTTAGGAGTTAAGAAGAGGTGGGGGAAATTAACCAAAAAAGATATGAGAAGTAGTAAGAAATGATTTAAGAGCCCTTAATTAACTAACAATTGATGGTACTTAACCAAATGAAAATGTGGAACAGGATTCATTGACCCCATATAGTTGGGACAAGGAATAGTTCAGTTGAGTAATAGATAACTTTAGCATTGGAATATGTGCTTGTAGTTTAAAATAGAATAATATTCCTTTTCTACCCAATTAATTTACTACGTTTTGTTGCTCCTTAACCTTGCAACTTATTCCTCATGATACTACCAATCCTAAGTCATTATTCTTCAACCACAGTGAACAAATCTCAATATCTGCTTGCTGTTGCTTATGATTTATACAATGTTCCAATCATCTTTTCAAAATTTTCTATAGAATCAATGAAGAAGATCTAGATGGCAATGATACACATTGATCTACCATAGGGATGATCATACATACTTACAAAATTAACAAAATTTTGTAAGTATATCTCTGGGCTTGACTTTATAAATTAACAAAATTGTATTCTTTAAAAAATAAAATTTGTATATAATTTTATAATAATAAATTACAAAATTAAATATAAAATTTGTAATATTAATATACATGCATATCATTAGTTTCAAGTCGGGCCGGGCTGGCCCAGGCAGAAATGATCTACCCACCAAGTGATATCATGTCAACTTTGTGCAAACTAGGGTGCTTATAGCCTTAAACCATCAAATCCACCAATTGTGTTTTTATGCTCCACCCCAAGGTTCAAAATATCAATATGCCCGATATGCCGGTAGGGGCATATTGGGCGAATCGGTACCTTTATTTTACTATTTTTATTTTTTTGAAACCGGTTTAGGGGGCCGGGTTAGGGCTCCTCCACCCCCTAAACTGGTTAGACCCCCAATACACTCACTATAGGGACATATTGGAGGGGTCCCGGAATGATACGTATCGGTCGATACGGGCCAATACATGTCGATACTTTAAACCTTTCTCCACCCTAGTCATTGGTAGTATTACTGACTCATTAAGTGTTATAAACTCTAATATAGAAATAGAATGGGCCAATATCGTTGCCAATAAGTGCATGCATTTGCAATCTGAGGTGCATTTATGACATTTCAACTCAAATATGTACAAGTAAGACATATCTCATGATTTTCATCCATCAAATAAAAGGTAAGGCTTATTTCAACTATTTGAGTAGGCTATACAAACCTTACTCCACCTTTATGCTCTATCTACCACATAACTTATAAATATGTCTTCATGTCAATCCTCACTTCTCCGGTTCATTTTCTTTTTATCACCTTCTAACTTACACGCACCACCCATGCTAGTGTTAAAAGTCCTAACAGCTCCCAGGCCATCTAGGTCAAAATTCCTCATCATGGATGAAGAGCACAACATGGTTTTCAAATCGCTGTTGACCTGAATGGTCAAATCTTTTGGCCCGGAAATCGTCCAGGCAATCAGTTCCGTTTTACTCCAAATCCGGTTTCTAACAAAAAATTGTTGAATTAGTCAACAAATTGATCCAGGCAGTCGAACCGTCAACCCATTCAACGGTTTTTGGTCATTTTTAAAGTTTAACTATTTTTTTATTTTTTTTTAATTTATTTTGTTAGAACAGACTATCCATTCAGTTCGGACGGTTGAACCATCAACCCGGAAACCACTGGCCAGAACGGTTACGATTCCAGTTCCGGGTCATTTTTTAAAACATTGGAGCACAATATTCTTGTTAAATGTTTAAAATAAATGAGTTAATGGATTAGCTTTAGCAATTTTTTTATCTGTTTTTTTCCAAGGTCAATAACAAGCACAAAATCTTCATTGTTTGGTTAATAGGGACTAGATATGATGAACAATTGAATAGAAAATCAAGAATTCTGCATGGCCAAGAACAAGGTTTTTTGTTTCCATAATGTGGTCAGTTTCGATTACAAAAAAAAAATGTGGTCAGTTTTATTCTATCTTTTGATATATTAAAATTGTGCTTCTTTAACTGTCAATATGGAGTAAACCTTAATTCTGTGTAATTGGTAAATGTAGATTCCAGCATCAAAAGTAGTCTTTTTTGTTAACTGTTGAAGGCTCATGCAAACTGGTTTATTTCACACTTGATGATATGCACCCTAGAATCATAGCTGTAAGGATAGCTATTAATTGCTCATTTAACACTGGTGATAGGAAAATGAAGTTATGGAGTAGTAAGTAGATCGAAGTAGCACTTGGGGTCACAGTCAAAACAGTAATATCAACCATTGATGCTGCAAATTCCATGGGGAACTAGGCGAGATCAATTAACCATTTAACGATATCAATCAATGAACCAGGCGATGTATTTGGATCATAATTTGATGAAGTTGAATACAAATAAATATCTGTTCATCTTCTTCTTTTAGCTTTATATTTATGGTAACCAAATCTCTGCAACAGAGAATAAATTGTAGTCATCTGTTTCCAAACAAGTAGATTCATGCGTTCATTAAAGCAGTTGTTCAATCTATACAGTTTCTTACAAACAACAATCAAAACAACTGATATAGCAAGAATACATATAAGATACATGAAATTACAGTCCTCAAACAGTTTGATTTCATCTTTCTATTCCTTGAGCAGGTTCGTCGTGTGAGCACAGGCAACTGATTCGGATTGCACCATAGCCAAAAGCCTGTGCAGAAGAAACCAGAAGATCAGGATATGCAATCAGATGACCAGATTAATTGCAGCTTCTGAAGCTGCTATGTTATTGTTGATTCCCAAGCATGTCCTCGTTTATTAAAGAATTTAAGAAGGAAGAGAAGACTTCATCAGTGGAGCAATCAATATCGTCTTCTTCGTTGTTGTTCCCGTGTCTGCTGCCGATCATGAAGCCATCAGAGTTCGTCCGGTTCTCTTCGCCTTTTCCCACTTTCCGACTTTGGTCCTGATCCAGATTCATCTCTGTGAAATGCATCTTACCCTTGTAAGTCGTAGTTGCACCACCGCAGACTCGTGGTTCTGGATTGGGGTGAGGTCTTGATGCAGGAGGAGGAGGAGGAGGGTTGATATTCTCCTCCGAGGAGTTAGGGTTAGGGTTCAGTGGCTTGTGGGTTCTGGGATCTATTCCTTGGCTGATCAACTTCTTACTAAGATGTGTATTCCAGTAGTTCTTGATCTCGTTGTCTGTACGTCCTGGGATCCTCCCAGCAATTAAAGACCATCTGAAGAGAAACTCCCAGAAAATTAAAACAGATAGAACGTTAGAAGAATTACTAACTATATGGCATACCTTCACATGATCCAAAGGAATAAGGTGGAACCGTGGAAGAACATACAAGCCAAAATTGAAAACCCTAGCTAAAACCTAAAAGGTGTAATATCTGCAAAAGCATTGTAATTGAACTGAAGGGGATGCGATGCGATCTAAAAGGATGCATGATGCAAAGTGAAATTCAAACTAAACGCGCAGAGAGAGAGAGAAGGTTAGGGTGAGTGGTAAGTCGTCGTAGACCTGTTGCCGAGGAGACGGTGCAGACGAAGAATGAGATCCTCCTCGTCAGGCGCGATCTGGCCTCGCTTAATGGAGGGTCGGAGATAATTCATCCACCGGAGGCGGCAGCTTTTTCCACAACGAAGCAGACCCGCCCGCTTCGGCAGCGTCCGCCACCGTCCCTCCCCTTCTCGCTTTATGTAACTGGACAAAAGCTCGTCCTCCTCCTGCGTCCAGGGCCCTCTCTTCAGACCCGCCGCCGATGACGAAGAATTTCGGTTCCTCATCTCTTGTCTCTGTATTCCTTTCTTTCTCTATGTCTATCTGTTTGTACGGCTGTTACTACTTGCGAGTGGCGATCTGTCTATGGACGTAAATGAGAGTATGAGACGTCGGAGCGGCGGAAGGCGGGAGGAGGAGGAGAAAAACCACAAATCTGGGACCCACCAGGTTGTCAATTCATTGTAACATATGAGTTGGGATCTCCTCCCAACAACATACGTTCCCACACTCTACCAACGTAATCTGACACACCACCCACACTTTGCCAAATCTACCATTTTCTTTCCAAAAAACATGCCGAGGCTCTAAAAATTTTTGGGTAGGATTTTAAAAATTCCCCTTGAAGTTAATGCCAAGGCGTCCCTTAGGGCCCCCATTATTAATGGGGAAGTTAAAAAAGAAAAACACCTTGAATCCGAATGAGAAAATTGTAAGCAAACTTGTGGGACTCGATCTTGACCCTCCTTAATTCTAAAACCAATATGATACCCCGATTCATGATCATGATGAGATCTTTCAAAAGAAATTGATAAATGTCAAAGAAACTTTCTATGGTCCAACTCAGAGGGGAAGAGGCCGATTCATCTCATGAATTGGGAGCGAGTTTGTACTCCAAAAAATAGAGGAGGGATGGGGCTGAAAAACCTCCATTTGATAAATGAAGCCAGCCTAGCTAAATTGGGGTGGAAAATTCTCATTGAAGAAGAAAATCTTTGGGTAAAGGTGATCAAGAACAAATACCTCCAAAAGGATTATGATTCTTGGAAAGCCAAAATCAAGAAGGGAATTTCATGACCTTAGAGAGGGATTTTAACGGCAAGAGAATTACTTAGCAAAGGAGGATTTGAATGGGAGATTGGAAATGGTAGAAATATTAATTTTTGGAATGATAGATGGGCTAGTGATACCCCAGCCGATTTCTGATGATATGGTGGTTCCCCATGAAGCAATTGTTAATGAGGATATTTTGGTGAATGAAATTTTGGATCAAGAGAGAGATTGGAGGGAAGATAAAGTTTGTAATTTAGTTCCAAGCCACCTTTGGATGAAAATTAAGGGAATTTATATACCCACAAACACAAGTAGTGATAAAATGATATGGAGGTTAAATCCCACTAATGGATTCAATGGGGTTAACAAAGTTTGGAACCTGAAATGCCCCCCAAAGTTATTGAGAGTATTCATGTTCCTCCTCCTCAATAATAAACTTCAAAATCCCATCTTAGGAGAAAGGGTGTAAGTATTGATGGTGGCTGTTGTGTTTGTGGGGAAGAAGATGATTTGAACCACATAAAAAATAAACTTGGTTGACAGTAAATTCTGAAATTAGGGGGCTGTTGTGTTTGTTCTTGTTGATCTTTGTAAGTTTCCTTGGCCTTTAGCTTTTATTTGTTCTAATGATCTGTGGGGACGTGCTACCCCCTGTCTTGTGTATTCCCACCTAGATTTATCAAAAAAATAAATAAATAAAGTAGGGCCCTATGCAATGTACAGGAAAATCAGATAATTTGAAAGATATCATGGACTTTTGTTTTTGGCAAAGGTTAAAATATAGGGAACGCTTAAAAATTGTTTCTCCATGGGACTATACAACTAGTGGAATCATCCCAAACCGATAAAGCCTCCCAACCCTAGCACAAGTTGGATTCAATCGTAAGTCTCTACTACAACCAATTGGAGACCTTACCAACCAACCAATTGACACTTTGGCGTAGGATATTAAAACTAAATTAATAAAAATATCTATTTATAAATTATTGTTGTTAGCACAATAGAAAATAAAAAATAAAAAGAAAATTTTGAATATCTTAAAAATCCTTGGTACAAATATTGATATAAATAAATTACTTCTCAAAAAATTATGAATAAATTTCTGAATTGATGTGAATAAAATTTTCAAAATTTGTTGATATGAATAAATTAATTTTCAAAATATTTTGAATTTATGAATAATCAATTACTAAAATATAAAAATTTTAGTAAATTAGGTTTTTTAAATTAACTTTCACTAAATTAAATTGCCTAATACTTGAAAATTAGTTTATGGAAATCACTAAAGTAAGAATTCCCAATAAATACCAAAAACAAATGTAAATTACTATAATTATAGAAATTATTAATAATTACCAAATATAAATGATCCATATTAAAACTCCCCAATAATTTTTCAATTTAATAATTCCAAAATCCAATGTAAATTACTAATAATTAATTATAGAAATTATTAAAAGATTCCAATTTAATAATTTTCAAAAAATATTAAATTTTATAAATAGTTATGGAAATTAAAATAGAGTTAAAATTTCCCAATAATTTTCCAATGTAATATTTTTCAATTTCCAAAAACCAATGTAAATGAAAATAAACAATTCTTATTACCATAATTAAATTTCAAAATCAATATTTTCCTGAAGTTACCTGAAAATTCTGAAAATTATTTTTTTTGAAATTTTAAAAATTAATAATTATCTTTAAATTACTGAAATTTTCATGTAGTAATTATCAATTTCAGATAATACTAATATATAATTAGTTTCATATAATAATAAGTTAATATTTAAATATTAAAATTTAATTATTCAATAATTATTGATATGAAGAATTAATTTTCAAACATTTATGTATTTTATGAATAATTAACTACTAAAATATCAAAATAAATTGATATGTACACTATTTTAATTATCTTATATGTTTAATGTTTGGGAAGTTTCCAACTTTGTTGCAACATTGAAATGAGAGGCAAGGTGACATGGCTAGAGGCTAAGAGTCGGATGATGTGGCAGAATGAGGGGTCTTGGTAGTGTGAAGGTAAACCTGTATTGAACTCAGCTTGTTGTGTTTTCATTAATAGAGTTTAAATTAATAATTTTTTACTTTTTAATTTATTTAGTAAATTGTTATTGATGTGTAATTTAAGTTATGATATTATTCTATGTTTATTACTATTTAAACTTTGTAATCTTGTTAGAATTTTTTATTATAAATTAAGTATAATATTATTGTGGTTAATTTGAACACTTGTTATTGTTAAAATTAAAAAATAGTAATTTATTTTGAAATTTCTATTATGTTAATCATTTTTAAATTAACTTTATTATACTTTTCAATGATGATATGAAAAATATTATGTATAATTATAATAAGTTTTTCATTATTAAATTTTATTACTTTTATTATTTCTCTTGTTGTATTATTTATTTTATTCTTATTATTCTTTTCATTATTTTTTAATCATCTTATTAGTTTTAGGTGGACCTTTATTCTTTTCATTATGAAAAATATTAGGAGATGTTTTAGGAGGAAGTTTTAGGTGGGGGAGATAATTAATTAGGAGAAATTTTAGGAGAGGAGATGATGATGATGATGATGTGTGTGTGTAAGAGAGAGAGAGAGAGAGAGAGAGAGATTTTAGGAATAAGATAAGGGGATTATTGGTTATGTTGTTTTCTCATTGGTTTAATGGGCAATTAGGTGGAATTAAAAAAAATTAAAAAAAAACAAGAAATTAGGAAGGGGTTTAGAGCAAGGGAGGCTCTCTGATGTGGACCACCTTGCTTTATATATAGAGTAGATTCGAGTCTAATGAAAAATTATTATTTTATGTATACATGTAGCATAATTATGTATATATAGATGTAGAGATATAGAGATATTTAGATATATAGATATAGATATTATGTATAATTATACAAAGTTTATAATTGATAAATTTAATAAAGGTTTAAAGTATCGATATGATACTCTGGATACGAGGTGTATCGTATATGTATCCACAAACATAGTTATGGTATACAACACAACTAGGATCTAGGAATATATCCCATGAATTGTGCGTATTGACACAATATGCCTCCAAATTGGACCATATTGCGTTGTATTGGTGGATATAGTCCAATATGATACGAAAGTTTATCAGTGCCTAGTTGACAAAATTGTATATTGACTACTTTTGGATTGTTTTTAATTTTAACAAAAACAGTTGAAAATTATAATTATAAAAAATGAAGTACAACTATAAACAAAAATACATAATTTAACATTTAATTACTCCAAAACATAATAATAACTGAATATTACAATAATAATTTATGTTATCTACCTTAAATATATTTTATTTTATACATAAAATTATATGTAAAACTAAAGATATATTTATTATTTGAAAAATAAAGTTACTATTTACATAAAATACTAGATAAATAAACTTTCCAAACAAAATAAATAAAAATTGAACATTTTTAAAAAAATCTTTTAAGATTTAAGTTTCCCCAAATTTTAATAAAATAAAAATTAAAAAATAATTTATTTTATCTATCTTAAATGATTTATATGTTTTATTTATACTTATATGTAAAATAAAACAATTATATGTTAAAAATGAAAACATATTTATTATTTGAAAATTAGAATTATTATTTACTAATATACTAAATAGATAAAATTTTCCAAAATTTTAATATAAATTGAAAATTATAATTATAAAAATTGAAATAGAAAGATAATTATTGTATCATGTATACATGTTTTGGAGTTCTAGTATTATTGATTTTTATGTTTCTTTTCATATAACCTATTAGAATGTGTATTTTTCATGTGTTTATACCTCTAATTCATTGATAATTCAGCTTTATATTTAGTTTCATTAATGTATTTATGTGATTTGTAGATATTTTCCTAGCATATCCAACTATACAAGTGTTTTCATATCTTTCGTCTATATCCATATATTTCTAGGTGTATCCATATCCATATTTGTATGTGAGTTGTTCAATATGACACATGATACTAATACTTTGTTCCTTGAATATAATATTTTATATTTATATACATTTATTATACATACATAAGTTAAAAATAAATTTTCTAAACTTTTTTTTAATTTTTTGGTCATTTTAAACACAATAAGATGGTTGTGGATTAAATCCCAATCCAATCTAAAATTCAGCATGTTAATCAAATGTAGATGTGGATCTAGAGGTTTTTTAATTGGATGCAGATGCGGATGTGGATGCAACTAGATCAAATCCATTTTCAGCCCTAAGCCTGAGTTGTCCTACCTGTAAGTACATGTCATTCACCACGATTGCAATTGCAATGAAGGTACTAAATTGGAACCATAGAAACGCCCATGGTGACACGCAAGCCAACACAAATCCGCGACAAGTCCATAACTTGTCATGAACCTGAGATGAGCTTAAGAACATCATGGACCTGCAATACGCGTCAAGAACAACAAGCCAAA